CTCTCTCTCTCTCTCTCTCTCTCTCTCTCTCTCTCTCTCTCTCTGTTTGTCCCCAGCGCCCAGGGGATGCTCTTTCTTCAGCAAACTGTCCCTGAGATGCGGGGTCTTGAGGAGAGCAGGGTCAGCAACATTAATCAAAGCTCAGGGGGACAGCAAGCTCCAGATTCCTGGTGTCGCTGGCTTCCAAACAGACCCGCACTGTCCCCAACACGGAGGTTACGCTTGTGGCTTCCATCGTGCCTGGGCCCTGGGAGGCCTGGGTGGAAACCCGCTGGAGGTCTGCAGCCTCTTCCGCTGACCTGGGAGGCTCTGCTTCCAGCTAAAGCAGATCTGTCGTCCAAGCGAGGCCCAGTGTTCCTCGAGGGCCCCTCGGTTGACCAGCCTCCTCCTCTCAGATTCCTCTGGAATCTGGAACAGAGACCCCTCGAGCTCCGCAGGGCAGTGCAGCAGTGCCCAAAAGCCATGCCCCCCATCTGCAGACCCACATTCTCACCCCACCCCTTGTCCCTAGGAAGGCCCAACAGTCCATCCAAATGGGTGGCATCTGAACATTGAGAAAAAAAATCTGTTTTTCATTGATGCAAAAGTCAAAGAAGAACATAAGCTAAATGGTATCAATGTTCTTTCTGTATTAAAGAGGCGAATGCTTGTAGAGACGGTGAAGAACAAGATGCAAAACTCCAGTTTCCAGGTGAGCCAGAAGAAGAGAGGAGATGGTGGGACGTCAGCAGGAAACCCAGTTGACAGTAACCCCATGTCTGTTATGTACTGAGCATTTGGTGTGTGTCAGGCGCAGAGCTAGGCACTTAATAGGCATTATTTAATCTTCACAACAACCCTATGGGGTTGGTATTGTTGTTATCCCCAGTTATCCAACGAGGTGTCTAAGGCTCAGAGACTTTAAGTGATTGGTCCAGAGCCACACAGCTAAGTAGGAGAGCTGACACCCAGGTGAGTGCTGCTTGGCTTCCTTGAGGTAATAAACATTCAAGTAATAAACCTGATACATTTCTGGTGGTTTTCTCTTGACTTTCAAGGAAGCATCCTTTAGAATCATCTTTTTTTAAGAGTTGGGAATCAAGACTGAAATCTAAAACACGTTGAAATGTTGCCATTCACAATTCAGCCCTAGAACTGGAATGGACCCAGCCCACATCCCCACTTTGCAGACAGGAGACGCAAGCTCTCAGGAAGCTTAAAAGCGAGCACATGTTAGTTGAATAAGAGAGCGGAGATGCAGTCAAGTTTGATAAAAGGCCACAGTCATTCTGAGACAATGAAATTACTGCTGGAAAAAATAAAATTGTTCTAGGTAAGGGACATTTTTGGAGAATAGAAGCCTCTTCTCAACCAACACACTTGTAAGACTAGAAGGTGGTTACCACCCAGACAGAGCAGGACGTTAAGGGGATTGAGAGCGTCCTGATGGCGCCCCTAGATCTGAGACCTCTGCCCCCTGCAAAGCAGGAATGAATGGGAGGCTGGTCGCTTATTCATCCAGATACATGGTTGAACGGGGAGCAGGCAGAAACGGCCCCACCACTAGGTTTTGTCTGAGGACCACCTGAGGGTGTAAGATGACAGAGGAGATATCAGGATGGGCCCTGGACTTTGTAGGAACATTGTGCTTGTCTGAGAGGTGAAGCCCCTGGAATTTCAGGCCGCCTCTGGGCTTATCGCAATGCAGGCAGACAGTGCTACTTCGGCTAAGAGCAAAGGATGCTCCCCGTTCTTCCAGCCCTCCAGCCCAGACTTAGAAGTTTGGTGCCCAGGACGTCCTCGGTACAGAAGGGTTTCATCCAAGTTCCTTGCAAAGTGTAGCTTGGAAGCTCCGCAGCGTGCCTTGAGTCCTTAGGGAGATGGAGTCGTCGTGACCACCTTGGAAGAGACAGGCCATGGAAAATCGGCTCTTCCGGTCTTGCCCACTCATAAAAGTCTCCATCTCTCGCAAGCTTCAAAAACGGCAGCCCCGCCCTGTGGAAGGCCCTGTGGGTTTTTGTTTTCTGTCCTCCAAAATACCATTCATTGATTTGATTTGATTTTTATTTCATTGCAGCTAACAGTCTTTTCTAAGTATTTTTTCAGCTGTATGCTAAAATACTCTAGTTAACAAACATTTATTGAATACCTAGTCTAGGCCACATACTGAGCTCGACACTGGGGATAGATGAGTAAAGCAAAAGGTGCTCTCCCAGCCCTGACTCATTCAACAAATATTTACTGAGAGCCTATGATGTGGCAGATACTGTCCAGATGTCGGGGTTCAGTCATGAATTCTCAGTGGCAACAGTATCACCCCTGAGAGGATGTAAATTTTTATTATTATTATTTTAATGTATAAAGCACATGGGGGTGTAAAGTACAACATAGGGAATATAGTCAATAATATTGTAACGACTGTGTATGGTGCCAGGTGGGTACTAGACTTATCAGGGAGATCACTTCGTAAGGTACATAAATGTCTAACCACTGTGCTGCACACCTGAAACTAATATAAAATAATATTGAGTGTCAACTGTAGTTGAAAAATAAAATACTTTGAAGTAAAAAAATGTATACGAGGTGTGATTACAAAATATGGTGAATGTTTAAATTTTTAAAAATGTATTACAGTAAAAGACATTATTGCCTTAATCCCCCTCAAAAAACTCCCCCTGGCTTGGAGCACACTTATCCCATCATTCTTGCCACTTTCTGAAGCAGTTCTTGAAGTCTTCTTTCGTGAGTGTCTTTAGTTGCGCTGTCATGGCTGCCTCGATGTCCTGAATCATTTTGACTTTGGGGAAGCGCCAGAAGTCGCACGGTGTCAGATCTGGTGAATAAGGTGGATGAGGACACACCGTAATGCTTTTATTTGACAGAAATGGACGTACCAGAAGCGATGTGTGACACGGAACATTGTCATGATGGAGGATGAAGTAAAGACACTCACGAAAGAGGACTTCCAGAACTGCTTCAGAAAGTGGCAAAAACTGGGACAAGTGTGTTCGAAGCAAGGGGAATATTTTGAGGGGAATTAAGGGCAATGCGTCTTTTACTGTAATACATTTTTTTACTTAAACATTCACCGTATTGTTTGATCACACCTCATAAAGCACAGATACACATACAGTTCTATCTGTAGCATAAAAATTTAATGGGTGTGGGAGCAATCCAGAAAAAAATATCTAAGAAGCCTCCTTAGGGGGGAATGATAATGAAAATAAGGGTGAGAAACACTGGTTAGACCAATGAAGAAACACACAAAACTGCTTGCTTTTCTGGCTTACATTCTTGGGCCACATTTTTTTTTAATAAATAAATATAATAATGATGAAAGAATTCCTTTGTACAAACTGTTCTGAGGACAGAGGCCAGGAGACTGAGCTCAGGAGCTATTTCACAGGGACCCGCCCAGTCCAAGGACCAGGCAAGGCCTCCCGGAAGAGGGGGTGTTGAAACCAAGGCCTGAGGTGGTGGTGGTGGGGGCGGAGGAGGGAGGGGGGTGGTTTCCCTAGAGCTGACGCTGGCAGTTGCCTGAAGTGGCCATGCCAGTGTTTTGGGTGAATTTCCACCTGGGTGTCACCATTTTAACGACTGGCTTCTATCCCTGCTTTTCCAGTCTCAAGGTGAGCCATGTGGTTCCAAACATCTGTGGATGAAAAAGGGGTCACATACTAAACCTGACAAGCTCAGGGCGGGCCTTAAGAACTCAGAGACTGAAAGTAACTGCACAGGATGGACTGAACATAAGAATTCCTAACTAAAAGCGGGTCATGGCAGGTAGTCCCATCCTAGGCCTGTAGCATCCTTGACAAAGGTCGATCTTTACCTGAAGTGAGTCTGTCTATTGTCTTTTTGCATCTAAGATAACATACCTTTGAAATATCAATGCAGTCTTTTTTCCAGACCCCTCAGGGCACACCCTCCACACCAGAGCAGAGACCACAGACCCCCCCAATTTTTTTTTGTTCCTCCCCGCATACCATCTCTATGCGCTGTACATGTTAGTTACTAACTGTCCTGTATCCACCCATGTAACAGCAGTACGTGTCCCTCCGGTTTACTTCTCACCCAATCCCTGAGATGCCCCCTCTCCCCACTTTGCTTTCTCCCGCCCCCTTAACCTACCACCAGTGGGTTTCCTGTAACCCTCCTTACGTCTCCTCCTTTGATTCTAATGTGTAAAATATGCTGCAAAACTGCCATTCTCTGAAGCATTTTCTCAGTCCATTGAGATTTTGCTTCCTGGCAATTGTCATCAGTTTGGCTCAAATAAGCTCATAAAAATTCTCTGCAGGTTTCTTACGTCCACACATCCAAGCTGAATGCATGGCACTCCCCTGTTGTCCCCACCCCAGTTCAGGGTGGTCCCTGCCAGGTTTCCCCTGCCCACATTTGCATTTTCACATATTCCATTCCCCATCTCTTCCTATTCTCATCAGCCATCCTGTCTGCCTTCTGCTGTCCCCATCCTGTCTCTCAAAAAAGTGGACCATAGCTTGCTGCCTGGTGCTTCTTACCCCAACCTCCTGGCAGATCTGGAGGCAGGGGGGGCGGGGACCCTGAACTGGGGACTCTACTTTTAACAAACTCGCTGGCAGCCAGCCCCACACTGGGTCAGGGCACTGGCATTTGGGAACCATCCACAGCCAGCAATTTTATTGAGAATCAAATAAAAAGGGCTATCAAGGAAAAGTGGTTTCAAGGGGAGAGCTTTCTGACATTTGCTGTCAGTTTTCATTTTCCCTGGCATTCCAACCAAGATACACTTTTTGGGCTAGTGTAGAGATGTTAGCCTTTCTCAGTCTGAAATGATTTGGAACGCAGTCTCAAGACACACCAGGACTGCAGCCAGCCACTGGCCGGGTCTCAGGAGGTGATGCTTAAACCTGCTTTAAAGTGAACAGAGCTCAAGAGATGGTCCAATAGCACCCTTCATTGAAAGCTACCCAGAACCTTCTCTCTGCCCCCGAGGAAGACAGGGCAGATATTCTGGTTCCTATTTGACATATGAGGAAACCGAAGGTCACATAGTAAGTGGCAGAGCTGAAATTCCACTATGCATAGACCTCTTCCCCCAGGGGCATGTGTGTCCTCATGGTTGGGGTCAAAATGTGCAGGAAGTAGGGCTAAAATTTGAAGCCTGTTGGAAAGAAATTTGCAAGTTACAATCTATCTACAGTAGGTGCAGAATGATGTGAGAGAGATTCCTGGGTTGCAATTAATAGAAACCTATTCAGACAGAAGGAGGTGCTTTTATAAAGATAGTGGAGTGAGTATCTCATAAAAACTAAAGGTTGAAAGAGAGTCTGGCCGCAAAAGAAAACGGTTAAGGTGTCAGATCCCAGGCACCATGTCTCTTACACACACAAACATGTGCACACACACACACACACACACACACACACACACACATCATGTCTCCTCTCTGCATCCCTCCATATCTCTGCTGATCTCTCTCCAGCCATGTGACAGGAAGAGATGACCTCAAGGTCCCCCAGTTCAAAGGACCAGCCCAGGGAGTAAATAGCACCTCAGAGTCCATTAACCCCAAATCCTAAGTGTGATCATCTGAAAAGCCCAGACTGTACCAAGTGTCCAGTCAACTATGACCAGGACTCAGGTCACACACATGGCTGCTGGGAGGGGGGAGGGGCCGTGCTCAGAAAAAGGCTAAAGACACCCCCTATTGGAATAGCCTGCACTTTGTCCTCCAGTGACATCAAAGACATAAGATACATGCAGTTCAGTAACAGCTTTTCGGGAGAAAGAAACTCCATCAAAATGAATGTGACCATCCTAAGAAGCTCCTGGTCTCAAAGAAAACATGAAAATGTGAAAAGGGAAAACGTTGCTTGTATATCTGGAAGGATGGACACCATAATGCTTCCCTTGGGTCGTGTGATAATGGTGGATCACTTTAGCTTCCTTTTGTTCATATCTAGGTTTGGGGGTTTTTTTACAACAAACATTTTAAGTAGAAAAGAAAAGAAAAAAAATCATTTGAGCAGAAAGTTTTTGGATCTCGCTGCAGTTATAGAGCTTGTGCATTTGTTTCTCTTGCTCATTGAAGGTTGGAGCCAGAAAAGCCAGCCCAAAGATGGACCGAAAAAGAGAGACGCTGAAGAGAGAATCTTCCAGCAAATCCAGCCAGAGTCTTCTTTAAGGCTGGTGGAAGGAGCTAGAAATGGCATCCCACCCAGCCTCGCATCACCCCCTGTGAGTCAGTGTGACTCTTCTGTGTCAAAATACTAAGATGCTTTTATAGGACTTTAAAGGTTGTTCCCCTAGTGTGTTGTTTCCTAGACTTGTGTTTTGCACAATGCTGTATTTTGGAGAGTGCGAAAGGGGTTCTTTTTTAAAATACCTATGAATGTATACATACATGAAGAATATAGGTTTGAAACCCAGACTCTTAGGCCTGGTAGATACAATTATGTAGTTCCACGTTTGAGTCGTGACATACTCACACATCACACAACCAAGAGGCGCCAAGAAACCCACAGTTAAGGAAACCCAAGACTGACACTGGGACCATGGTATCATGCATTTACATCGGAGTTTATTATAATAAATTTAGAATGCCAATTCACTTTATCGCTTCCATAGTAAAGACTAACATTTATATGGCAGTTCTCATCTAATCCTCCCCTAAGCCCTGGGAGGTACCTAGTATTATGTTTCCCATTTAACAGATGAGGATGCTGAAGCCCAGAGAGGTTAAGTGGCCTGGCTAAAATCACACAGCTAATAAATTCAAGAGTCGAGACTGGAACCCAGGTTTCTAATTCCATCTCATACTTCCCATTCTGCTACCCCAAGATGGCCCAGTAGTTCAAGTCCCAGGCCATAAGGACAGTCCAAGGACCCAGTCACCAAAGAGGACACGCTGCCCAGGTGGACACACTGCTTTTTCGTTGCGTGTGGAGGGGCACTCATTTTCCTTGTTCCACACTCTGCTTCTCTCATGTTCTGCCCTCTCTCCAGCCAGCCATCCTCTCACTGCCTCTCTTGTATGGCCAAGACTGCCAAACAAAAGGAGAGGAAGAGCCAAAAATCACGAATATCATTTTTTTATTTTTAAAAAGCCACAATAAAAATATTTTGATATTTCAAAACCAAATACATTCTTTATACTAACTAAAACTAAAAGGAGGGCCAGCCAAGAGGCATGTTGGTTAGGAGTTGGCTTGAGACGCCAGCTCTGAGCAGCAGGGCCACTGGTTCGGATCCCACATGAGGGCCAGTGATGCTGCGACCTCTACAGCTAAGATGCTGAACAACAGCTCGACCTGGAGCTGAGCTGCCGTGAGTCGCCGGTGACAGGATAGGCTGCAGTGGGGCTGGCCGGCAGCTGGTGTGAGCTGCCTTGAGCCACTGTGAGTGGCCATCCAATGGCCAGAGGGCGACTGCCTCACCCAGGAAGAGCGCAATGATAATACCAACATGGGCCAGTGAAGCGACGTCCTCCACAACGAGACTGAAGAACAAAAGGACAGCAGCTTGTCTGTTCCACTTCCCCAATTCCCCAACACTGTTCTCCTCCCCCAATTCCCCAATAAAATCTTTAAAAAAAAACAAAACCTAAAAGGAAATAGGAAAATTTCTTTGTGTGATATTCCACTGAAGGTACATCTTACACACAGGATTAGGATCTGAAGTCAGTGAGAAAGGTGAACATTACCTTATCTGAAAAATACTCTAGGAAATTCTGGAAGTTTTCCATAAAGAATATGGTTTTATTTATATTGTACTGTATTCCAAAAGTCCAAAATAGCAACTTTTTCTCCAGCACCAGAAAAGATCATTTGGTTAGGAGACGTTTAAGCAGTTGGTTCATGTTTGGGAGCCAAACTGTGTCGGGAAAAAAAGTATGTTATTTATTGGTTGAACATGTATATTTGAATTTGCATAAGTAAAATGTAATGCCTATGTGACTCCACTGTATTTTAGGTCTTTCAAAGGACGTGTTAATTTTGATCATATGAACATTACAACCCATGATGGCAATTGCTTTTCTTCACTTCTTGAGCTAGTTTTTTGGGTGTCTCCTCAGCCACACACCCTTTTCCCTGAGAATGTACCACCCCCCCAATCAGGTTTGCTCTACCTAATACTTCTCTCTTGGCCACAGCTGGTTGGCTGAGCAGTAGATACCTAAGTGGGACTCTGGGATGCCACGCAAGTCATTAGTGGTGCTGGAGCTGAGAGACTTGATGCAGTTCCAGGGCTGGGGTGGCCCTTTCCCCTCTTATGTTTAGAGAAACAAAGCTGGTCTTCAGAGAGAGAACGCTGGGCTGGGGTAGACGTGCAACAAGGAGAGACAAGAAACCAAGACCCCCAGAGAGACAGTGCAGCAGATGCCACGAGCCCCTTAGGCATCGCCTCCTGCTACGATGTAAGCTGAAGGCTAAACACCTGATTTCCCTTGCAGCTAGAGCTGGCCATGTTGCTCCGTTCTGGCCAATGACATTGGGGAGGGCTTCTCTTCTGGAACAAAAGGCAAGCCTTCCCTAGGAGAGAGCTTTTTGCTCTTCATCCCTTTGCCTTGCCTCCTCTTTGTCTCCTGGAGCTCAGCCTTGGAGCTGGATCAGCCACCTTTGGGATCATCAGGCAACACGTAAGAGGCCGAAGCCCACCTCCAAGGACAATGGAGTGGAAAGATGAGAAGGGCCTGGGCTGCATCCGGGCCCTCTGCGCCATGCCTGAACTGCCTACCTCTAGACCTCCTGTTGTGTAAAACAAATCCCTACCAGTTTAAGTCACTGTAGGCACTGACAATGACAGCTATTTATTACTTCCCATGATTCCAGGGGTCAAGCTGGGCACTGGTCCTGGTCCGGGCTGGCTTGGCTTGGGCGGGATGGTTTAGAATGGCCTCATTTACATGCCTGGTCACCATTAGGCAAGTTGGGTTAAGACAGTGGGTCTCAACCAGGGGCAGTTTTGCCCCCCAGGGGACACTTGGCAATGTCTGTACACAATTTTGGTTGTCACAGTTGGGGGGGGAGGGGTACTATTATCATCTAGTGGGTAGAGGTCAGGGATGCTGCTTAGCATCCTACAGAGCACAGGACAGTCCCCACAACAAAGACCGATTCGACCCAAAATGTCAAGAATGAGAAACCCTGGTCTAGAGAGGCCTCGGCTAGGGCAGTTTGCCTATGCCTGGCATGGTCTCCCATCACCCAGCTGACTAGCCTGGGCTCTTTCATGTGTGGCGGGCACAGGTTCCCAAGAGCAGCAGGGGAGAGCAAGCCCCAAAGCACAAACACTTTTCAAGTCTCTGTCTGCCTTGTGTGTGTTAATACCCCATCAGACAAAGCAAGTCACATGGCCAGAGTCCGTTTGGAAGGAGCTCCAAATTTTTACAATCTACCCACGTCCAGTGTTCTGTTAGCGGAAGCTGAATGCATTCCAACTGATAACAAAGGAGAAATTTAACCTTGATCCCTGATAACTTTCTGGTCCCCAGTCTCTTTCCTTCGGGAGGCCAGTTCCAATGCTAACAATACCCTTGGGTTCCACTAGGACCCTTTGTATCACTCAAGATTCTTTGGTTGCAAAAAACAGAACCCTCCTGTGGCTGAGTTAAGCAGGAGGGGAGTTTATTGAAAGGAAACAAGGAATGTTAGAGAATCGAAGGGCAAGCAAGCTGAAGCGTCAGGACAATCGGGAGCTGGCTTCTCTTCCCCAACAGAAGCCCCCTTTTTGTTCCAGCTGGTTTCAGTTTCTGTTATTTGCAACCAAAATGGCCTCTGCTAAGACCCTGCTATGCAGCCTCCTCTGCGAAGCTACCAGCAACCTTTCCCCTGAGGTTGTATCAAGGTACAACAGGGGACCTGCAGTCCCCAAACCCTCCAATCTTCTGATTCCCCGAGAAGCTTAAGACAAACAACTTCCTTCCACCCTCGCCAACGGCAGCCCATTTGGTTTCCTGGATTCGTGACTTTGCAGATAAGGTGCCCTTCTCTAGCAACTTGGCAGAGTCACCAGTGCCTGCTGTTGTGGAAACCAGAGTCATGAAGTGTCTGAGGAGGGGGAAAAAAAATAGCTTCCGGAGCTGCATTCTGAAGTGTGCTCCTGGTAAGTGGAGTGGTGTCCAATTTTGGCGGGGGGGTCTTAGGAATGAAAGCAGTACACAGTCAATGAGCGGAAACCCCAAACCTGCTAGTGCTAATGTGTTCCTCTAGTCCGCGCCGTGCCGAGGCCTCCCGAAGCAGGAGTTAGGGTGCCCGGTGAGGGTAGAGTATTTCAGCTTATCTACTTGGCCTCATTTCCATCAAGATGTGCCGCTTACATCCGTCTGCTCAGTGTCCCAAGTTATTTTGGGCCAATTCATGACCTTATGTGCCTGCTTTTGTTTTTAAACATTTTCCTTTGCCCATCTGTCCCCCAGGAATCCGTCACAAGCAATGCCTCCCATCCTAGGGTGGGAAGTCTTCGCAGGCTCCTTGCTTTGGGTTTTCTCTCATCTTTTTAGCATATTGCTTTCATTCCTAAGACCCTAAGATATAGGAAGCAGAGAATTTTATCTTCTGGCTAACTGTGGCCTTATCGTCGTAGTAATCAGAGGTGCTCTTTGACTGATAAATCATTTTTCCAGTTAAACAACCAGCCTTCATTCAGGAAACAAATACTGGGTGCCTACTATGTGCCATGTGCTCACTACTGTGCTAGACCTCATGGCCTTGACCTTTGCTCCCCTTTCTTTTCCCATGATGATCTGCTGCTTTCTCGAAAAGGGGTTGGAATCATTAATTCACTGGGTATGTTGCGAGGGAGAGCTCACCTTTGGTATTCACATCCCCTTTTTTCAGTTTTCTATGGGATCACTGCTGGGCATTCTGTAGAGAATGCTGCATACAGCAGTGACCCTCTTCTGGAAGTTTCTTTGTGACTCTCAACAGTTGAAGTTTAATAGCTAATAATAGCAAACTTTTGATAGTATCCTTGCCAGCCATCAGATACTGCGCTAAGCATGGTCCAAACATTACCCCACTTAGCCCTCCCTGAGTGTTTTACCTGTGAAAGCGATGAGTAGATAAGTAACCTGCCCGAGATCAAGAGCGTCAGAACTCAGCTTTCGTACCCTTAACTGCTCTACTGTATCAATTTCCTCACCGAAGTCCGGAACCCGCTGGTTATCTATTCGATGAAGTAGGGTCAGCACACTTTTTCTATAAAGGGCGAGGCCATAAAAGCCCTTTTCCTGTAAAGCGCCATTTCGTTTTGTGGACTATAGAGTCTCTGTCATCACTATGCAACTCTCTCATTGCAGCGTATGGAATACCTAAATGAATGAGTGTGGCTGTGTTCCAATAAAACTTTATTTATAAAAATAGGCGGCGGGCCACATATGCTGACCCCACGTTAAACTCTCACCCAGACTAGATGGCTAACGTCTGCGTGGCTATTGCCTGTTGCATGATGACCAAGGAGCGAGATTCTCAGCATCTCCATTATGGTGAACATTTTGAGCTTTTATTAGGTGCCACGCACTACACTAAACACTGTACATACATTTCCTCATTTCATCCACTCCAGTGCTCCAGGAGGAGATAATTGTTGCCACTTTATAGATGGTGCAACTGAGGCCAGAAAGGTAAAGTCACTTGCCCAAGGTCACCCCACTGGGATTTTCCAATTCATAACCATGACACCACACTGCCTTTCCCTGTCAGAGCCTTACACCTGGACAATAGGGAGTTCTTCCAGTGAGTCTAGAGACCTTCCTTCCCCTGGACCAGGTGTGAAACAACCAAGCCTTCGTGATACAAACCCCTTCCTTTAAGCATCCTGGTTTACCTGCCCTTTCTAAGAGTCACCTGCTTTCTTTAGTTAATACCTTCGGTCAGGTGTCCCCGCCCTAAGCAGTGTGCTCTTCCTTTCAACTGACGTTGCCTATCTGCACTGTGCTAATTTTACAATTTCCCTCTCAGGTTCTCAAATTCGCAGGTGCCCCGACAGCGGCCACACGCGGTGTTTACCTGTACTTACCATTTATTCCTTCCATCCTGTCTGCTGAGCAGAGAACTAAGTGACCTCTGGGCCACATTGATGTCCAAAGACCATCAGGTCACCCGGCCCCATTCCCTATCTGATGCAGCTGACATTGTCCCCAGAGGAGAGGGACAGACACTCGAGAGGTTTGTTTTTTAAGAGCTCCTGTTATCTTTTTGTGTTGAGTCATGTGGGTGCATAGAGGTGTCACTTTAGCAGCTTCTCTTTCTTGGCAGTGACCTTGAGACCTAAAAATGGGCCACCGGATGCTCTGGAGGGGACACTGAGAAAACACCCAGCCTGTCCCCAAGCCTCAGGCTGAGTGAGCCATCTTGCATTCATTCAACAATTATTTCTGCAGCACATACCTCAGGCCAGGCCCCACGCTGGGCACTGAGAAGCCAAAGGTGAACCAGACAGACAGGCAGGCCCCTTCCCCCAGGAAGTTGTGTTGGGGGACGGGGTAGTGTTAGATATTTTATTAACAGCTCCAGTGTGGCGTGTAATAAGTGCTGAGTCCCAGCCAGAGGAGGGTTCAGCCGGAAGAGTTGTATCCTCTCTCAGACCCCCCATGTGGGGTCCAACAAATCTCACTCTTCCAGCTGCCTATTCCTGCTCCTCCCCACCCCTCCTGCCCACGACCAGAAGAATTCCAGGACCAGACCCTGGTGCCCGACACAATAAATATGACTCGATTTCCTGAATGTGAACACCCACTGCTTTCTCAGCGTAGTAGAAAAATCATAATTAGCTGCCCTTATTATTGCCATGTTTGGAAGGGGTCCAGGATGACACAGTAGATGCAGCATTGCTGGGTTTAAGCCACAAGGGACACACACACACACACACACACAAACACACACACACATTCACACTCTTTGAGAGTTTAAAACAGGCTAAAACTCAGGCCTGCCAGGTGTTAAACGTGGACGCTGACCTGCCTGGGGTTTAACAGAAGAAGAAAACATGTTCAGCTTTTTTTTTTTTTTTCCATTCTGCCCAGTTGGGCATATGCAACTAATTTGAAAGATGATCTTGGTTTTCAAGTAAAAGCCTCCAAGATAACCGCAGAGAGGGGAAGCTCTATCGATAATGCATGGGTTTCTAATGACCTGCAAATGGGTCTACCTGCCGATGTTGTCCCCATCGTGCCCTTTTCCTCCTGCCCAGCTCAGCGGTGCCGTAAGCACCTGCCTGACACAGCTCCGTCCCCTTCCCACAGCTTTCAGACTTGGCAGGAGGTGAGAAAGCCTCTGACACCAACCAGGCTGTGATCCCGTTCCCTGCTCTCACTCCTCCAATTGCTCCAAATGAGGACTTGGGCTATCCCTAATTTTGACATCTGTACATCTTTGTCAATCCATCAAGGGCTTCCTGGTGACCACAGAGCATTCGTGATGATTAATTAGCAAGCTGGTATTTATAAAGTGCAAAGCGAGTGCTACACTTTGAGCCAACTTGATCTCCAAGGCCTCCCTAATCCCTTCTTGTTTTCCCAGCATCTCAAGCTGGAGGGACCACCCAGTTCTGTCAGGCTCTGGAATGCCCCTCCATATTCACCCCACCTGCCCCCTCACCCAAGAGCTCTTCCCAGCCCCTCCCTGCTCCCCCCTCCCCTTTCAAGGTGCTGTTGTTTTTCTTAATATGATTTTACTCCTCCCCAAAAGACAGTTACACAAGTAGATTGTGGGAGGAAGAAGAGAAACAGTCAGTGATGACTAAGTCTGCCTAGCTCAGCTCCCTTGCCGCTGGAATTCTGTCAGAATTGGCTCTCTCTCTCTCCCCAAAATCCTTTGCCGAGGGTGTGATTTTTCCTGAAGATCATTCTTTCCACATGACCAAATGCTATAATACGTAACCAGTCTAGCTCGTTTCTTTCTGCCCGAATCCATGCTTAGGGCACAGCACTCAGGGTCATTCAAAAGCAATTTCCCTTAATGAACAGGCCACGGATAGTTCCTGGGAGTTTCACAGTCTAATCAACGCCCAGCAGTTATCGCTGCTTTTCTTTTCTTCACCAGTTCTTCGATTTTCGAAGAAGTGCTTTTCCTGAAGTCCAGTGGCCACAGAAGAAAAAAGTTCAAATAAAATGCAGTCTCTGGCATGCATCTCTGGCTTTAGAGCCGATCAACAGTTTCTTTTATTAGGCAGGCCCGGCCCAAGGCCTGCAAATGGGGCAGAGAACCAGACAGCTTGCGCTCTCATTCTGTAGTCAGAGCCTCCGAGCTCTAAAACCCTGAGAACCTGTGAGATCAGCCCAAGAGGTGTTAAAAGGGCTCACCCTTCCGGGAAGCATTTCCTGAGCTCTGCCTGAGTATGATAGCAAGGCCTGGGCATTCCACTCCCCTTTTATAAGATGCAATAGGTAATGAACAGGAATCCCACCTCCTACCTGTGCTTCATGGAGCCTGCCCTGTCTCTCAAGGGTGGTAACAAGCCAAATGGGTAATCGACCAGGGTGTTTCATACATACAGCTCATGTGAATAATTCAAACCGAACCCCAGGTTTTTCACATATATGTAAGTTGTTTTTTAAAAAGGCAAACCCTTGGGGCAGCCAGGTGGTTCCGTTGGTTAGAGCATGTACTCTGAACAACAAGGTTGCTGGTTTGATTCCCACATGGGATGGTGGGCTGTGCTGCACCCCCTGCAACTAGATTGAAAACGGTGACAGAATTTTGATAGTTTCAATCTATACCACATCCCTAGTCTTTTTGCATTCAATAAAAAACAAACTTTTGTACTTCTGTTGGGTCCTTCAAAGCTGCAGGTGGGAGATATAGAAACCTGTCTTTTGCAAGTAGCTGAGCCAAACTGCCCAAGACCAACAGAAACTTAATTCCAAGCTTTAAAAGAACAAAATCATGTCATTTAAGCTATATTGGAACTCAGAAATAGTCTCAAAAATAAGTTAATGAAAATTTCATGTTTTCTGAGCGCTGAAGTGTTTTTCTCAATTTTGTTCTTTTTAAAATGCCTTTTAAATTATTTCAACAATAATTTGCAAACTATGGCAAATTGACAAATATCAATCGAGGCTCTGTCCTGTGCAAATCACTTTGTAGTAGCTGCTCTGACTACAGAATGAGAGCGCAAGCTGCTGGCTTTACCTTCACAAGTGCTCTGTGCCTCCCATCTTTTCTCTCCACTTTTACATGTGGTTCTGCATAGGGGTCTTCAGTGTCGTCCTAACATTTTAGAATATAAGCACAGAGCAGTCCTCCTTCTACACTAGTGATTCTCAAACTTCAGTGAGCAGAACTCCCCTGGGTGCTGTTAAAATGCAGAGCTCTGAGCTCTACCCCTGAGATCAGTTTTTTTCTACCTGGATTGGAGCCTGGGACTCTGTCTTATCACCCAGCGCCACTCCCGATTGGGTTCTCATGCTGGGGGTCCACAGCTTTGCAGTTTGAAGGTGACAGACCAGACTACAGAGAGAAACCCCATCCCATGAGCCTTTGGAAAGGACATGTCTCCTCTGGGGCCCTCATCGACACAGCATCATCATGATCTCCCTGCCGGTGTTCCTAAAGTAGAGTCACAGGCAACAGCCAGCCGTGGCCCAGCAGCTATTCTGCAAAGTCATCCATGGGATCTGCTGGGCCGGGGGGAAAGGGCCAGTCCCTTGCCCCTTTTGCTCTCCACCAGTCTCGGAACACCTCCAAGCCCGGTCTCCCTCGCAGCTGCTGATCCATCCTTTTCCAAAAGATGCAGCAGCTCCCCTGTGGTTAAATCTAAACCGGGGTTCCCGCTCACCGGGTCCATCTTCATACCCCTGCAGCCCTCATTGACAACACCAGTGTATAACGAGTTGTCTCCATGGCAACCGACAGGGTGTCACGGACACAGGATTACGACTTCACAGCGTGGGGATTCCAGAGGAGTTGGGGGCCGCACCCCCTGACCCACACTCAAACTGCAGGGGAGGAACCCCTCTTGCTTCCCGCCTGCGTCCTGGACCCCGAGCCCGACCTCTCCGGCCCAGCCGGCGCTGTGCGGACGGAGACGGGGGATGGATTTTTACAAAGACCCCGTGGGGGCTGGTGGTGGGCTGAGCGCACGCACCCAGCACACTTGAACGCCAGCGATCAAGACCAAGCCCGCGTCTGCTGCGCAGGGCCGGGAGCGGGGGCGGGCCCCGAGGGTCGTAAGCCCCACCTTCGGGGGCGGTGCCTAGCGCGGGGAGTGTCAGGAAGAGGAAGAGCGCGGCCAGAGGCCGTGCGGGCGCGCGGAGAGCAGGGGCCGCGCCGAGGGGAGCGCCGCGCGGGCCACCATGGCCACGGACGAGCTGGCCAGCAAGCTGAGCCGGCGGCTGCAGATGGAGGAGGAGGGCGAGGGCGGCGGCGACTCCGCGGAGCAGCCCGGCCTGAACGGGGCCGCGGCGGCTGCGCCTGGGGCGCCCGACGAGGCGGCGGAGGCGCTGGGCAGCGCGGACGGCGAGCTGAGCGCCAAGCTGCTGCGGCGCGCAGACCTCAACCAGGGCATCGGCGAGCCCCAGTCGCCCAGCCGCCGCGTCTTCAACCCCTACACCGAGTTCAAGGAGTTCTCCAGGAAGCAGATCAAGGACATGGAGAAGATGTTCAAGCAGTAAGTGCCCGCCCGACCCGGCCCCGCCACCCACGGCCCCCTGCTGCCAGCCGCGCTCCCCCGAATCCCGACACACCAGGGATGGGAACCCAGCGGCCCCTTCCAGATAATCACGAGGCTGCGGAACCGTCCACCCCACCACGCATATGGGTCTGGGTACCCCGCGCCCCTGACACTCTACCCCTCCGCTGGGTGACGCCGCCCCCTGTACACTAGATGCGCGCACACTGAGTGGGGGCCCCGCAGCTCCTTCTAGATAATCGCGAGTCCCCGTGAGCCCCTGTTACCACCACATACGTGTGCCTGAGAACTCTGGGTCGCTGGCCTAGGTCCCTGCCCTGTTAGCGACGCTCCCTCCACCACTACACACCTGCGCCCACCGAGATGGAGGACCCCGTGGCCTCCCTTTCGCCCCCAACAAGCCACTCTCGAATTCCCCACCCCCACCTCTGGTCACAAACACCCACCCCCCTCCAGCGCCTCAACAAAGGTGACCAGTCCCTGATCCTCATGTCACACACATTCTTTTCCCCGGAGTACCCTCATTTCCTCTGCTTCTCCCAGATCCCCCTCAACATAGGTTCTGGGCAGACACCCTCTTCCCCTGCAGTTATTCAGCATCTGCTAGCCAACTCCAGTCAAAGACCCTTCATCCCCTCCCGCCCCTACCCCCAGCCCCGGTTGGCCAGGACCCCAATCCTTGACCCTCAGTCTCCCTGGGGAGGAACCCCACTTTTCAGGTAGTACAACTTCCCTCCTCTTGCCCTCACTGCCCCTCTGCACCCAGCAACTTCTAGTCACCATCCCCCTGCTGCCTGTCAAACTGCCCCGTCTCTCCGCAGCCCCTCCCTTCATACACAGGGTTCCCCAAGCCCCACACCTTCCTGTCTGACTCCCCAGTTGCTCTCACCCTTACCCATTACTCCATATAATTCCACATGCCGTGCCCTCTGCAGGTTGGACAGGCACCCCCAGGCCCATGGGCTCAGCCCTACCACCCAAAAACACCCTAATATCTCTGTTGCGGTCCTAGAGAGAAAGGGCACCAGGTCCTCTGGTCCATTGGGGCTGACCCAAGTTAGGATTGAGACAGTCAGCCACAGCCCCCTCCAGCCATGTCTGCAGGCCGGAGGGGGTTTGAGGAGGAGTGGTGATGGAGGCACCCAACCCCCTTCCCTTGGGTACCCTTCCCCACTTCTGTTGTCAATAGCCCTGTCCCTGGCTCCTGGAGGGGACAGTACCCTGGGGGTACTGGTCTGGAGCGGGTCCTGGAGGAGGCAGAACCATCCTGAGGCAGAGTGTAGGGTGGAGGAGTCAGGAGGTCTGTCTGCCTTGAGACAGACAGCCCAAGGCTAAGGGAGAGGTGCTGGGCCCACCTTGCCCCAGGCAGGAGGCAGGGCGGCTGTGGCTGGATAAGCCTCAACGCAGGCAGCTAGCTGCCCTGAGAGCCAGCAGGAAGGCTGGTGTTTTGCAACCCCACAGCTTGAGAAAGGCTCTTCCCACTTCTAGTACTTGCTACAGCTGCTGCTTCTGCATTTGGCCCGACGATGCAGTGGGAGAGGTTCCTGGTTCCCAGACCTGGATGGTTGGGCACCCCAGACTTTTCCAGGTGTCAGCCTGGGGAAAAACAGTCCTTGACTCCCCCCTGGGCCTCTGCGTGCAGGTCCCACAGCCCTGGGGAGCCTGCCTCTTTGACTCCAGAGTCTTGGTTGAGAGTTCTAAAGTTTCTTCTCAGCCGAAGACTGGCATGATTAGGAGGGCTGGATTCCCAAGGAGGAAATTACCAGGATTTCCAAGGTTCTGGCAGGAATAGATTGCAAGTTCCTTGAGCCCAGGGTGGGTGTAGATTCTCTACCTAGAACTTCCTTGTAGAGCCTGTCAGTCAGTCATCCCCACCCACCCACTCCGCCCCAGGGGAGCGCAGGCAAAATTATTCGAAGGCAGCCAAGATCCCTGTGTCAATAGGACCAAAGCGCTAAGGAGCTCATCAGTTCCTCCCAGCAAACTCATGAAAGAACTATCATCATTCCCATGGCACAGTTGGGGAGTCTGGGCACAGAGACGTTAAGCAACTTGCCAAGACCACACAGCTAGAAAATGATGGAGCCAGGATCTGAACCCAGGTCTGTGACTCCAAAACCTTTGTTCTTCCCTTCCGGGTTTCCTGCCAAAAAAAAAAAGGTGGAGCTGTTTGGGAGAGCCCAGACAACCCAAAGAGCAGGAACTTGGGAGGCTGCAATGAGACTGCAAGAGGCTTATAATTGGGGGACTGGTATTGAAGCTGCATTTGCAGGACAAGCTCACTTTTTACAGAGGCTGTTTTTGGTGTTAGTTTGACGAGGAGTACTTTGATAAAGATTGGGGGAGAGCCAAACCCCTGCAGGTCCCCCCTTAGTACCACGACTGCTTTCTGGGGGCTTTGGGAGGGGTGGGAGGGCAGGAAGGGGCCAGGGAGCCCAACTTCTAGGGAAGGAAGTGCTGCCCGCCGGGGAGCCCTGGTGAGAATGGAAAGCTGCAGATTTTGTATTCAAGGAAACAAGGCTTCACTGTGCCAGTCGAGCCCAGCCCCGCCGAACAGCCAACAGACAGGCTCTCATGAAAGACAAAACCCCTCTTCTGCTTCTGCCGTCTGAGTGGGCCTGCAGCCTTCTGGGTCCAAGCAGGGCCTGCGGACCACAGCCAGGGCTCTGCTGAGAGACTTCCACCCTGGTCTCCAGCTCCGAAGGCAGGGAGGAGGGAGCCTGGCCCTCCAGAGCCAAGCGCAGGAGACAGGAGGTCAGAGGGAGCTAGGAGCCGGCCTTTTTTTGAAGGCCAGGAGCTAGGAAGCCTGGGCTTCTATCCTGGCTCTGCCTACCCCACCTCCACCCCCACCCTGGGCCCCGGTCTTCACATCTGTAAAAGGAGCAGGCTCTATCTGATGGCAGAACTGCTTTCCACGGTCTTCCTGTCCATCCATGCAGAGTTCATCAGCAGATACTTCCTGGGGATGGAGAAGGAGGGAGAATAGAGGAGACAGAGAGAAGATAGGCTCTCCGCCATGGCTGACCTCACACTACAGCTGTGCAGGTTCCAGCTGGGAGAGACCTCAAGGGCTGACTCCAGCCCTTCTCCGCGTTTTACAGAAGGAACTGAGACCCAGAAACGTGTAGTGACTTGCTTGGGGTCACAGGGAGGTTTTCAGTGGCTGGGCCAGAGCATCCTTGTCTGTGCAGTGGGACAGTGGTCCCCGCTTTTGAGTGAAGCTCAGAGGAGGTGACACATGTAGAGCTCTGGCGCGATGCCAGGCACGTGGCAGTAGTGGAGCCAGGACTGTCCGTCCTCCCCATGTGGCCTCAGGCTGCACCCACCACCTCTAATCCCACCCTCTCCCCACCTGTCTCTGCCATTCATCCAGGGCTGTCTCTGGAACCCTCCAGGCAAGGGGGAGATGGTGGGGCCCCAGAGAGCCTCGAGGGGGCCCACCCCTGAGCTGGCAACAGCCTGCCTGGGGCTCTGTGGGGTTTTGTAAGCTGAGACCTGCTGGAGAGGTAGGCAGTCGTGTAATTCGGAACCTGCCGTGGAATCTGAGGAAGACGCCCTAGTTCCCTGCCTTGCCAGCCTCGTCCCCAGCCACCTCATCTCATGACCCCTTGCGTCAGAGAGACAGGTTTCCCTCTCATTCTGGACACTTCTTCCCTTCCCACCCACCCCCTCTTCCCCTCCCCCCCACCTGCTCAGACCCTTGCCCCTTACAGTACCTCCCCTCGTTGCCCTTCCGCGATGACAGTGTGGTGCAGTGGTTAAGAGTGGGGGTGTTTGGACTCTGCAGCCCTGGGTTTGAATCCCAGCTGTGGGCTCTGGGGCAAGGCCCCTAAACCTTGTTGAGCTTCAGTTCCTCACCCTAGAACAGGGAGAATAATAGCACCCACATCACATGATCATTATGAAGTACTTAACCCAGTGCTTGGCACAAAGTAAGTGCTTCTTCAGTTCCTGTCACCATCATCCCCAGCCCTGGCGGTGGCCGGGCTGGCAGCAAGGCAGCTCCACAGACGCCACTGGCTGCCTTCACTTACCTCCCACGGAGCTGCTGGACTGGGAGCAACCCTCTTGCTTTGGTCCAGAGTGACAGGAACCCAGCATGAGAACCCTTTCCTCCTGTCCAACAAACGCCCTGACTGACAGCTACATATGGCTTTGATAAAATAACGAACATGGGGAAAGGAATTCATTATCACTTCATTACATGGAAGGCAGGTGGCAGGAAAAAGCGAAGAGCAAACAGCAGCTCTGGAGTCGGACAAAAGTGGGACCCTAGTGCCGGACGCCCCCTGCCCCGCTGGGAGACACTGGGCAGGGTGCTTAGCTTCTCGGAGACTTATTGGGTCTTTGGGAAAGTCATGACGCATTTTTGCATTGAAAAACATAGAAAAATACGTCATGACTTCCCCGACGACCCAACAGCTTCCCCTGGGGCTGCAGAACCTACCAGGTAAAATGCTGAGGATGAAGTTTTAAAAGCCCTAGGCCTTTGTAGAGTTCACCATCATGTCTGGTCTGTGGGCTGTTAAAAACGTAGATGATGATTTTGAAAAACACCAAGTCCATTCCTTTGATCATTCATCCAACAGATACTTCATTAAGTTTCTGCTGTGTGCATGTCCCAGAGAACCGGCCAGGAATCAAGTTCCCGTCCTCGAGAAGCTTGAAGCCTCACCGCAGGCAGGGGTGTGTAGGAGCCTTTGCGGGGAGAGCGGGTGGGCCCCCAGAGCTAAAGATGGAAGGTTCCGTCTCTTTATTTCTACCACGAGGACTGAAAGCTCTCACGAGGAATGCCATGATGATAGGCTCTCCCCGGCCAGCCCCTGCCTCCGCCCTCTCCCTGTTAAGTGGAACCACCAGGTCCAGTTGCTCCCGCAGGAGCCGATGTGTATTATTTCAGAAATTGAATATAATCCTCACACCCACACAGCGAGGTGGGTGCTGTCATTATCCCCATTTGCCAGATGAGGAAATAAATG